GAGAGAGAGAGAGAGACAGAGAGAGGCAGAGGCAGAGACAGAATGAGAGAGAGAGAGAGAGAGAGAGAGAGGGGGATTCTGTTGAATCGAGAGAGGAAGCGGGTCCGGCCGACCGCGAATGTCACATACATGTCATATAATATATATGTCGTGCCATACGTCATACACGTACCTGTCGCATAACATTTCATAACACCGGGCCGCGTGTCGTGGAGTCATATCTACACACGCGAACGCCGCTTCCCATGCACACACGTTCGTGTCACATTCGCGTCACAGTGACACGTAGTGTCACATCATCACATGTGACGTCATATGCAGCTAGATCCGTAGTACACTATATATATATAAGGTCCAATAAATGGTCGTGTGCCGACGGCCGTGTATCGTAGCAACATGTTACATCTTTGTTATTAATGACTATGTCGTTTAAACGTCTAAGCGACGATTTACCAAATTTCGGCAAGCCCACTAATCCCTGCAACCAATTCTCCTTGCCTCACCTCGCCTTCTCTCCTCACCTCACACCCCGGTCCCCCAACAGAGCAAGAAACTAGCGTCTAAATGAATAATAGGTCCATTGATTATGCAATGTTGACGAATGCTAGAGCACCTGGTGTAGTTAATAAGTACATTACCTTATAGCCAAACGCGTATTAGTTTGTCCAATATCACTGCTGGTTACATTACAAACAAGACTTGAAATCGGTTGTTGATATGTATCAACGTATCATTTACGTGCCGTAAATTATGTCATCCAGGAGTCAAGCGATGACGTAAACATTTGTGCTGCCCGTATGTTTTGGACGCCAGATGAAACGGAGGTGTCAGCGGTGTAACCACGGCCACGGACTAAACATGGAAATAGAGTAAAACACACGTACTAATCACGGACGCACTGGTGCCAGTTACTATAGCATTCGACTCGTCAACATTGCATAATCAATGAACCTATTATTCCTTTAATTGTGTTCCTCTGCTGCCGTGGCGGTAATAAGGGACTACTGCTGCTGCTGCTGCTGCTGCTGCTGCTGCTGCTGCTGCTGCTGCTGCTGCTGCCTCGCTCAGGAACATACTGGAAAGACCAGTTTCACGCACGCGAGCACCCAGGGGGAGGGAGATGTAGAGTTTCATAGCTCGTTCTTCGGTATTAAACAAATCCACATATTTCTGGCCGAGCAGCAATAACAGAGAGGCATGCTCACGACAACAGCTTTGTGGGCAGGGTGAAAACAGACAGGGGCACTGACTGTCAAGCTATCCGAAGCACGAACGCTAGATAAACAAAAATCACGTTTATGGACCAGCAGAGGGGGATGGAGATCTGGGGATAGGTGTTTAATACACGCACACCGCAGCGATAACAATGGACAGGGCGCTGTGAGCCATATTGTGCGACTTTCGCGTCGTATGCCTGTGACAAGCTGTCGCATGCTCGGTACACCATGTTGAACCGTAGTTCGAATAAATTCCTAGACGGGGAGGAGAGGGGGGAAATTTCGCGACTCAAGAAAAAATAATTGCAAGAGAAAGCGCATTTTTTTCACGAAAATTTTAAAAGGCATGAAGAAATAAACAACGTAAAGGATACGATTAGACCGAAGGGATATTTTTTGCTCTGCGACGCATTGATCTCACTTTGGAGGTTATTTATAGTTACTACGGTGATTTATTTTTCAGAATCTAGAGGGAGAGGCAGCTACCCCGCCCCACCGCGCTGCAGGCTACAGTACTAAGAGCTATAATGATGTTTAGTGTGTATAGTAAGCTGACATTCCGTACGTCTACCGTGTTAAAGTTGTGCTATTAGAAATATCTGCGACCAAAAAAAAGACGTTACCCGCTACTAAACGTTTACGTACTACTAATAAACAAGATATAATAATAAATAAAAGCAAACACCACCATGCAGTTATTGATACTTCACGAATGCTAATTTGAAGCCTCGGGGGATCACGGCGAAACTATTACTCAACTTTACTGTTTGGTCGTGTCGGAGCCACTCAACTCTTTCGTGGAGTACAATGGAATAAATTCGGCTGCATTTCAGAAGGAGTACTAATACAGACATGTTGTATAACAACTGCGGACGTGTTACGAGTGGTTTCGGCTGCATACGTGCGTGAATTTAGAGGAGGGTTAACATGCACGCCCACACCACCTTCAGCACTAGTATCCTGTCAGCGACACTGAGCATTAATTAAGCCTAGCGCACACACCCGAGCAAAACGGGAAATTTTGTTTTCCAGCGTTTCGCGTTCAGCTAGGCGAGCAAGCGCGCACACGCCACCCGACACAGCACACAGCTGAGCGTGTTTCGCTGAACAAGCAGTGTTTGATTCGCGGAACGTGTTTTCGCCTGTGCGTACGTTTTGCTCGGGTGTGTGCGTCAATCGTTCTGCTACACAGCGAAACGCCACAGACGGTCTCCAATCAATATCCTTAAAAATATCACATGACACACAATTGTGATGTCCATTAGATGGTTATTTTTGATGTCATGTGACAGCGGCGCTGTACGCAGTGTTTCTGTATGTTTTGCTCAGCTGTGTGCTGTGTCGGGTAGCGTGTGTGCGCTTGCTCGCCGAGCAGAACGCGAAACGCTGGAAAACAAAATTTCCCGTTTTGCTCGGGTGTGTGCGCTAGGCTTTACTCGAGCTCTGTAAAACCACGCACAACCCCATCGGCAAAGCCCTACTACCGACACGGCGCATCTAATACACCCCGTGGTCAAACACTCTGACCCGTACGCAATACAACCGGCCAATTGGCACTCTATGAGTGCACGTTCGTTGAGACATTAGGGTGACAATCCACGACACTCATAATCCTAATTGCTAACCGAACAAGCTTTCGCGCTTTTTCTACCGGGAGCCTTTCCGGAGACAATTCAATTCATCAGCGTTCGTTGTGAGGGGATTGTAGCGAACATAATGCAATCACAGCGGTAACGCAACACATGCACCGATCCCGCCTGCATAGAGAGAGAGCGAGAAAGAAAGAGAAACGAGAGAGAGAGAGAGAGAGAGAGAGGGGGGAGAGAGCGAGAGAGAGAGAAAGAAAGGGGGAGAGATAGAGACACAGAGAGAGAGGGGAGAGACACACGCACACAGACAAGCACACACACGCACACACACACACACAGCAAGCCAGCGGTGGTTTTCCTGCGATGATTACGTAACCACTTGCGGACGGATCACCGGTGCGGTGTCCGGAGGAGGTTATTCGCTTGTTCCAATAAAGAAAGATTCAGCTTACAGCACACAGGGGACTTTATTAGCTACCAGCTATTAGAGGACATTATATATATATATATAAGAGCGAGAGAGAAAGAGAGAGAGAGAGAGAGAGATAGAGAGAGAGAGACAGACAGACAGACAGACAGACAGACAGACAGAGAGAGAAAGCGAGAGAGAGAGAGAGAGAGAGAGAGAGAGAGAGAGAGAGAGAGAGAGAGAGAGAGAGAGAGAGAGAGAGAGAGAGAGAGAGAGAGATAGAGAGAGAGAGAGAGATAGAGAGAGGGAGAGAGAAAGCGAGAGAGTGAGAGCGAATGAGAGGGAGAGAGAGACAGAGAGAGAGACAGACAGACAGACAGACAGAGCGAGAGAGACAGAGAGAAAGAGATAGAACGATAGACGTTTCGTATATAGAACTGTTTGAAGTTGATGGCATAGTTTCACACCGGTGACACGGATTTGATTTTATCATTGTTATACAAGAATGTACCGGCATTAGTCAGAATATATATATTTCCGTAATCAGGTTGTTGCCGTTGACAAGCCGATTCTGTGGCCATATTTCAATACCTGGCTATAGCGTCAACTACTGCAAGGTTAATCGCCTCTGGATATATTCACACAACACAGATGTTATGCTACCAACTCCTAAAATGTCTTTCAATAAACGAAATCATTCGTCAAATTAAAAGAACTGTTCACCTACATATAATATCTGGAAATAACCATTCTGCAGGATTCAATCAAGAGTCCATTTTAGAAAAGTTTCTATTATGCTGCATTGCACTTTTGATTCAATAAAAAATGCATTGAAACGTTTTTGCCAAGAACTCTGGAATTTGTATGAATATTGTCTACAAAGGATACCTTAAGTCTGTTGTTGATGGTCTTTAAATAAATAATAGCCAATGCAAGTGGAACTAACACAACAATACAAACATATATCATTCCAACCAATTCCCTGCCACTCTTGTCATGCCCTCTGGCATATCCACTACTTCTTTGTACTGTATTAAAATCATGATAGACGTACCTATTGAAACAAGAACCCCAATCAAGCATTACCTATGTACAGTCTACTCCTGGTCTATAAGCAAGCAGCCAGGAGAATTTTAAACCATAGAACACATCAGAGCTACATACAGTTCACGTAGTTGGAAACTGACCGAGTTATAAAGGTCTAAATAAAACGTGAAAGCATATATAGATATATCTAAATCAATATAAGAAGTAGAAAGTATTGTTTAGCTAGCTCTAGCACTACTTGGGCCTGTATTGTTCGGTAACATAAAGAGAGATATATAGGCTAATGGCTATCGGTGATAGAGCTAGAGGGAGTAGGAATAGAGAATAGTAAGATAGTGGCTCTCAGGTGCAGCAATTCGACAGACCTGTGACTTACCCATGCCTGTATGGTTCTGTAACATAGCGATATATAGACTACAGGTGATAGAGCTAGAGGGAGTAGAGATAGAGAATAGTAAGATAGTGGCTCTCAGTAGCAGCAACTCGACTTACCCGTGCCTGCAGGAACAGATAGCACTCTATCAGCAGGAGAACGACGAAGAGGATGAAGACCGAAGAGTCGAGGAACAGCCTCGGACCGCCGACGGCGGCGCCGTTTGCGAGTCTACTGTACAACGAGGCTACCCTCACGCCATGCGCCACGATGCCCAACGTCCAGTAACACAGCAGCAGTACGAGCAGCAGAGGTAGATTTCGAATTTCGATGGTGTGGTAATAAATAATACTACACGTGACGGCGACGAGTAGGGACGTCGACAGAACGTGCGCGTACGGTCGCGCCGCTGCCGCCGACGACGAAGCGCAGTCTGTCAAGATGGCTTCCGCGATCCATCCGAGCGCCAGCATTAGTAGCGCCGTCGTCACCAACCAGCGGAGGTTGTGGCAGCGCAGCCGCAGCCACGACTTGTTCCTGTAGCGGTGGCGCAGGTAGACGATGCACGGCACCACGGCGACGGCGAACGCGCAGTGCACGCCCGCCGCCAGCGCCCCCGTGCGGCAGTCGCTGCGCAGGAAGCTGCCGTCGTCGCCGGCGACCGGCGGCCCGCAGAACGACGATAGCGTGGAGGCGACATCCTCCGTGTGGTTGCCCATCGCGAGCGGAGGGCGGGCGGAGACTCCCTTCACCGCCAACCTGGTGGCAGACAGACGCCGCAAATTAACGCGATCAGTGGACGTCGGTTTTACGGTTCGTTAAAAAATCGGCAGATGCTAGAAGCTCACGATCGACGACCCATTCCATGCTGATCGCATCTTGCGTAATATCACCCCGGGTATAAAAAAGCAGTTGTCCCCAGTACTAAAATGCACGACGTTTCATATACGTGTGAGGCTGAATGGCGGAATTTCAGTTTTACGGCTCACTCGATCGGTCGAGTAATTGTGAAGGGTGTAGAAAAAATGTGCCATTCAATATTACAAATGTGCTTCACAGTACCGCAAACATCGTAGCTGACTAATGCTACAGATCGCATATCGCACAAAATCACAATGTGGTTTATGGTTCATAGCCATGGTCCCATTAGTATTCGATTTTGAGAGGTCCTACTGGTATAATAAATAGACAATTTGTAGAACTATTAATCATATTGGTAATATTTATAACAGACTGATGGTTATTACACTATTTATAACATAAATACCCTGAGAATACACTTGTCAGTTTTTAGCAAAAGATATAGGCCTATAAATATATTATATATGATTACTAAATCATACATGTAACAATGTCACATGTGTACGCCACGGTACTGGAATTGGAATAGGCTACTGTCACTAATGTATTGTATAGAAATCGGCGTTGAATCGCGTAGCAATTTGTGAAAACTAAATAATCGTTTATCTTATATTAAAACATTATATTTTTTACAGCTAAAACATTTACATCTGTATACTGGTATCTTGTTAACAGCCGCGTGCGAAACTCACATGTAAGTTTGATTGCCTAGCGGACAATACCGGCGTATACGTGCATGGTGCAGACAATACGTGCTACGGCCAGCTGCGATCGCGGATATTTTACCCCCGATTTGCTACGATCGCGGTCCTCAGTTTCATTGGCATGCAAAATGTGTCATATATAAAGAAATCGGGAAATCACTTACCCCTACGACATCAAACTGTGCGAAACCACTTCGTCAAAAGTGTTTATCCATTATAATCAAATATAGGCAAAAGATCTATCACGATATTTGAAATACATCCTATGTGTTGCGGCTATACGTGTCCGATGCGCTTCGCCGCTTCAACTAGACTTGGTAATGCTAAAAGCGGACAAAGGAGCAAACGAACCGAAACCACACCGAAACCAGGATATATAGTTTCGACGTTTCTTGCGAACACGAATTCATTTCAATACACATTGTAGGATTTATGCTATATAATTAATTTAATAAATTAAAAATTTTGCTAATATATTTATACTTACTGACTAAAATTACGATATAGAGCAACTAATGATAATGAGCCCTCAAATTTAAATGCCCTATAGGGTGCATTTGGTTTTATAGATGGTTTGCGAGCGCCATCTAGTGGTCCGTGTCATTTGATCCTTAATTTTGTTACGCGAAAACGCATATCGTGGGTATAAATTATGCGTTTATATGTAGTTATAACGTCATGTTATTGCGGATTATAAGATAATTATTCTTAGAACTACTCCTCGTGGATCTGGTTAAAAGTCTACATTCCTACCAGTGCTTCTAAATTAGTGTGTATATTTGCAATGATTGTGGCATTGATTTGTGCATAGCAGACGAACTAGCGCTAAACAATAGTCAATACATCCATATACCAATTATCAATATGAATTATTATCCCACAATGTCAACTTATTCGATTATTCCATAATTTATTCTCTTTTAGATAGAAAAACATGTCTGGTGCTCCGTACAGAAACCCTATAGTGCCAATTTTCAACAGAAGCAGAGCTCCACGAACTGCACTGTTTGCACATCCACAAAATGATAATTCCGTGACAAGTCACTATCAACAAAACTTTGCTGGAACAAATGGAAATCAGCATTCACAGTCAGGTAGGTAAATCATTAGTCTTGTATCCATACATTCACGAGTAAACAACATGGCAAGAAAGGAAATTAAATTAAATTATTCTATCAATTGTGTTTCTAGCAATGCCTGCTAAGAAAGATCATCAAGAGAAATCTCATCTGCTAAAAGAAATCATCAATTAGGAATGTTTAAGTCTTATCCATTTTCAGCGAGATGTGCACCATACAACACTTCACAAGCGAGGGGCCTCCCAAATGCACCACAGCAATGTCATAAAACACCTATAGCAAGGCACGAACCACACAGGCAAATGGTTGGCAAGGACATGCCATACACCAGCAAAGCAGGAGGTTGAATGGAATATATTGTTCATTGAGAATGTGCACGATGGCTTTTAACAAGCAATAAAACAAATAATAGCTGACTTCAAATTATACAAATTGCTCCATGAAAATGTTATTATTACTACAGGAAAAATGTATCAGCACGTACTTTCTGGACCAAACCACCAGCAACATAACCCAGCAGCAGCTACCTACAACTCATTGAGCAGCACTGGACACAACAGGTCTCAGTAATAACTCTATTATACCAGCAGATTATATTACGTTTCAAGCTACAACATTACTTAATATTGTTCACTTCACAAATAGCTCAATAATGTGTGATATTGTGTATTATATTTTTAGAGTACAATACGACAGTGCCCCTGCAATGGTAACCAATTCGAAACCTCCCAAAGGTTGGGATGCACCTGTGAAAACGCACCTGGGTACATCAGCAACCTTGGCTCCTCGACCAAGCATACCTGCAGCCTACAATGCTAGACCTAGTAAACCTACAACCTTTAATGCTAGATCAAGCACACCTGCAGCTTTCAATGCTAGACCAGCCACACCCACAACTTTCAATGCCAGACCAAGCACACCTGCAACTTTCAATGCTAGACCAAGCACACCTGCAACTTTCAATGCTAGACCAGCGCCACACCGCTGCAACTTCAATGCTGACACAACCACACCTGCAACTTTCAATGCCAGACCAAGCACACCTGCAACTTTCAATTCCACACCAAGCACACCTGCCAGTTTCAATGCTAGATCAAGCACATCTGCAACTTTCAATGCCAGACCAACCACACCTGCAACTTTCAATGCTAGACCAGCACATCTGCCCAACTTTCAATGCTAGACCAAGCACACCTGCAACTTTCAATGCTAGACCAAGCACATCTGCAACTTTCAATGCTAGACCAAGCACACCTGCAACTTTCAATGCTAGACCAAGCACACCTGCAACTTTCAATGCTAGACCAGGCACACCTGCAACCTCTACTCCCTCACAGACCTCATCCTACAAGATCACTGACTCTGGAAACAGGATTACATCACGTCAAAACGTAAATGTGAACCTGTTGACCTGTTGACCTGTTGACCTGTTAACCTGTTGAAATGTCGGAATGAAATTCGCACCTGCTAGTTTTTATTATTTTAAAATCTGTCTGCGCTGATTTGGTGTATGGGTAAATTATTCTTAGAGTGGGGCCAAACATCTTTGTTACCTACACATTACTCACTTGCAGGAAAAAGACTTGAGGGTACTGACTGCTACCATAGAGGGAATGCAACACTGGAGCAAGTACAACAATAACTTCATGATCATGTTCGAGGTTTTCGGTAAATGTAACGACACCTACGCATCACTAATATATTCCATGTAGCTGATGATAGAGCAATAAGGCGATAAAAACAGTTTATAGTGTATCAGATAACTTAGTATAATTGTTTATTAATTCTTCTTTTGTCGTTCACACTATGATCACATAACTTCCTTTGGAATCCCCTTTGGCAGCAACAATGCTAATATCTGTTATTGTTTGATTAACGTAGGCATAGTTGACTCGGCTGTTGTAAGCAGGAATCGGTGCTCTCAAACGTTTACCCTCAGAGACGACTCCGGACCGATTCAGTGCGTGTTCTTTGAAATAGTAAGTCCGTACAGAAACTCATTTGAATTTTAAAATTTTTCTCGATCATGGCAAAACGAAGACAAGCATCTAGCGATCAATCTTGTGCGCATCAGTGTAAGCCAGGGTATATCATTGGCTCAATCCTACTTTAGGACCTCCGTAAACACATCGTTACCACCATGTCATCACAATCACCATTATCTTAACCACACCCTCAACCTAGGACCAACCCCATCACGTATATAGAGAAGTCCTAACGTTGGATCAACCCTTTGTTTCGAGCAAACAGTGAGCATCGCTGGTGAATGACACACCTCTCTCCCTCTCTCTCTCTCTCTCTCTCACCGTTAAGGATCGTGTGTTCCCGCGTCTCATCAGAGGTCAGTGGTATCGCTGCGTGGGACAGTACGACGCGAGCAGGGAGACGCTGCAGTGCGTCTCCGTGCGAGCGGCGAGTGCCGAGGAGCGGCAGAGGGCGCCGGCGAGCGTCGAGATGTGCGACACCGCCATGAGGGCCGCCGTGTCGCTGCTGTGTGAGGCGTAGATGAAGAGAGCGCCACCTACATCAGATGCAGAGCGCACTTCCCTAAGTGCTTAGAGTGCCACCTACCTTGGATGCCAGAACGATCATCTACTGTGGGCTGAATGCCTGCCGAAGCTAACCTGGCATTCAAAGCAACTATGTGATGTAAATACAATCACAACAGGTTCGCTAGTAGTGGAACTATGTGTGTGAGGTTACACACAAGAGTTACAAGAACAGGTGAGCATTGAAGGATCTTTTTCATGTTCATTCTCGCCATTTTTACGCGAGGTAAAATGCAGCAATCTAGGTTGACCAATGTAGCAGATGCAGTAGCTCTCGGTTTGCTGTCACTAACCTGCAGTCTTGGAGTCACCGGCAATGTATATACTGAGACTTGTCGTTAATACGAGTAAAGTTGTTATGTAGATCAACAGTTTTGTGCAGCAGCAGTTTAAGTGATTATTACCACGATTTATAGTTATAAATACCACTTTATGCATAGTTTAAACGGGTTTGAATTCTCACCAGATTTTGTGATGTATAAAAGGTTATTTTACTGTTACTTTATTATGAGCGATATGAGAAAAAATCGTTATTATTTTATATGATTATACAATATCCATAGAACTTGTGAATGTTTTGAATAAATAAAAAAAAAGTTACAATACACAACTGTTTGGCTACTATTCTTTTAAGATGGACAACGCAATACGAGTTTAATTATGCATCAAAAAGACTGTAGCATGATTAGCCACTCATTATACAGCAGAATTTTCAACCTTCCGCATACAAATTCTCATACACTTATCATATAATGCAATATATTCACAATGCTATTTGGATTTTACAACAACGACAACAAAGTACAGTACCACTATCATAATTATACATGTTTACATTTTAGAATATATTTGCCGAAAGCGTGAGAAGTGTTAAAGATTTTAGACCAGATGATCTGTAAATGTATATGAAACACCATACCTAATTAAAATATGTTTCTATTGTGTGTCTTAATGTGTATGTGTGTGCGTGTGTGTTCGGTAAACTTTTGTACTTTTGCACAGCAGTGGTGAGAGCTTAGTAACAAAACACATTAATTTACATGGACACAAGTAGCTGTCACTACTGAGATTGGCTTGTATCACGAGTTTTGTACGTGATGCCTCTACTCTTCAATTCTCTAACAATTCCAGGTGGAAGCCTTCCCGAAACAGATATTGCATACATCCCTCGAGCAAGGTTGTCTGTACCAGAGAAAAACAAAAGAAAAGCATTAAAACACTACTACAAATGATGGCAAGGGACAGTCAAGGAGTATATGAATTAGTCTCTAGAATTGTACTGCCACACGGAATGCAGAAAAGGTTCATATAGTGACGATTCACACATGGTAACATTGATTTTATGCATGAGAAACATTATCTGTTATAGAACAACATATAGAGCTCCGAAGTGATGACGTCACGGTGGCATGACAACGAACCTACTGGTTCTACACAACACAATCATATGCTCTGGTAACATTAACTGCGTGTCGTGTTTTGTACCCGATTGTAACCATCATTCTGAGAGTCATTATTGCAGTTTTTATAGATTTCCAAAGGATGGAAGTGAAAAGCAACAAAAAAATAATAATTTTAAAAAAAATTTAAAAAAAAATTAATTTATTACATATTGTAAGATCGACTTGCTACCGATGCTTTACCGCTGTCTGCAGTGTTTTACGTACGCACAACATTTTCATGCAGTTAATGTTATGGAGCCAGTGGGTTGTGTAGGACCAGTGTGTTCGTTGTCATGCCACCGTGACGTCACACTTCGGTACTCTATACCATCATCACACATCCACAGGTACATGTCTTAGGATAACTTACTTATGCGTTGCCACTTTGCCACCCAACTGTCTTCTGGATTCATCATTGCTACCATCCTGAAAAATGTTTAATTTAACTTCATTAAAAAAAAATTCTGTAAAACACTATTACCAACCAGTGATTCAATCAAGTGTGCCATCAGGGTTCTGCTCAGAAAATAGTCAGTGAATTCCATTTGTTATGATCAGGGACTAAACCACAGAACACTGTTTTTCACCACCACTTACTATACCAGCTACTATTCAGCTACTTCCACAGAAGTCAATTAAAAAAATTATTAACAATCTATTCCCCTTTCATAGTTGCTAGTTTTAAGCCCCTTCCAGCTACATGTATTTATTTCACCCTCTGGTGCTGATGTGCATGATTCATATACCGGCCATAACTGTATGTTTATCTGACTTACCCATCAAAGTTTGCACTGGTGCAATCGTACACCATATCTCTCTTGCTTTTCAATCCGAGGAATTGGTCACAGTTGTCACAGCCATCCATCTCGAATTGATCTATTGTCTATAATACCAAATGGTAAGATGGGATTACCTATGGGTAACTAGATTTCTATTTCACCAGGATTCCTCCAAACTGATCGAATTTACCTGCATAGTATAAAGGCCATGTACAACACGAGAAAGTAACTCCAATTAGCAATCAGCTCACTAATTGGAGTTATGTACACATGTTGTAGGCAATGTTTGCTACATTGAACGTTGTTACTGTTAGGCAGTCGAGCTATTCATGCCAGATAATCTGAAATGAATAACTCGTTTGCCTAACATTCCTTCTAACATTCCTGGGGAGAACCCTGCATACCATAACCGGACTAGCTTGTTGATATGCTGCTATGGTAACGCTAGCACGGTAGATTCAATGCCCTGGCCCCTGCATTACAAACTAATGTAACATATGTTTTACAAATGTTGCATGAATTAGTCAGCGAGGCTTGACTGGGGGTTGTTTTAGTGGTAGTCTATGTAGACAGAGCGTCGCGCATCTTGTGCGGCTAGATTGATGTTATAGGGAGAATGATAAACGTGTTTTAGGTCGGGCGTTTCTAGGGTCATTGTGAAATGGAGATAAGACGCGAGAGAATTTTGTTGAGAAGGTTGAGTCGCTTCTCTTTACGGAGTATTTGAAGATTCGGCCAAAATTAAGTGATTGTAACATTGCAGTTACGCTGTTGGTTCTGCCATAATCGTTGCAGACGAATCTAGCTGTGCGGCGTTGGATCATTTCAATTTTTTCTATGTCTTTTTTTAAATGTGGGTCCCAGACTGTGCGGGCATACTCTAGCTTAGACCGAATGAGAGATTTGTATGGTGTGGCTTTCAGCGTTTTGGGCGCGTATTTCAAATTCCTTTTGACAAGGCCAAGGGTGCTGTTGGCTTTCGCACATAAACTATTGATATATTTGTCCCACTTCTGGGCATTAAATCGCATCCCCCAGGTCTCGGCCCAAGATTGAAGGATGGACAAGTCTTGCTTGCAGCATGTGCTTATCCTTGATGGAGTTGATCCTATCGATCCTATCGATCCTATTGATTCCTATATAGGAGACAATCGTCGGCGAACAATCACACTTTGCTGGTTACAGTGGCTGGTAGATTATTGATGTGTAGAAGGAACAGTAAAGGGCCAAGGACAGTTCCCTGTGGAACACCCGAGTCCACTGAAACACAATCGGAGTGTTACCCTTCCATGACCACTTGTTGTGATCGATGACAGAGAAATTCCTGGATCCATTTCAGTGCTCGAAATAAGAAAAAAAATGTGGTTGTCCTGCGGACAACCCAGGCATCAAATCAGGTTGTCCGCAACAATTTCTGGTTGTCCCAAAAAAATATCCCCAAATCTCCTGTTTTCAATCACATAATAATATGGTCAGAAAACACCCAA